TAGAACTAACACACTCTTTAAGTGTGTGTGTGTGTGAGAACAGTCAGGTGTTGAGGCGAGTGTGGGTCATTTCTCAGCATTTGTGTGTGTCTGTGTTCGCAGCATATCTGTGGTATCCTGTGGTGTTTACAGGCTGTTCAGACTGAAACTTATGTGAGTCTGCGGACACAACACAAACACAACACAGACACATATGCACGCATCTGAAAACCGACGGCAGTCATGTGACCTGAAAGTGGCTGTCAAAGTAAAAGCAGGCCCCAGAATTAGCATCCCTGCAGCCGAGGTTCAGAGTCGACGCCGTGAGGAGCGATGAACTGGTGGTTTGTGGTGAACCGACATCCCATTAACACTCACGCTGATGTTTGTGTTGGCCGAATATCAAGCTCCCTAAAACTGGATGAACTTTGGATGAATGAGAAAATAATTCTTCCACAAGCTTTTCATCATTAGACAGTGACGAAGTACAGAGATATTCATGGGGAAATACCACAACATTTACCTGACAGCTGGAGTTTGTGGTAACCTTCCAGATGTTGCAGGTTATTTTTCATATCTCCCTCTTATCACGTCATCTTAGGCTCAAATGGACTCCTTCAAGTTTTATTTTCTTACAAAAAAAGTGAAAACTCTGCAAGTGTTTTAGGATCATTTCAACCTGTTTTCTCATTGAGAGTAAATTTAAATCAAAAATAGGTTGGAATATTCTCACTGGACTGGAAAATAAGGTTTGTAGGAATCTGTTACAGACTGAAATATTAAGGTTTTTGCAGCTCAAACTGCTTGTAATCTAGTTATAAACAGCAGTTGCAACAAAAAATTCTGTTTACGTATCAGTAATAATGATCCTATGATATGTATAAGACTACGGAAGAGGCCATTTGTTTTTACTTTTCATACTTTGAGTACATTTTACTGATAATACTTTCACTAAAGTAGGATTTTAAATGCGGTTTTATTTTGTAGTAGGTGATTTAAATCTAATTTTTCTAACCCTGTACATACAATATCTTAAAGTAACGTCAGTTTGTTGCACATTGATGCTCTGATAATTTACAACAAAGTCAGTGTCCTGGCTCCAGATCCCTCAGTCTCACTATACATTTTGTTATTCAAAGCTCTGAGGCCAGATGTGTAGCTTAAGGTCAGACTGACTTTAGCAGAATGTGAAAAAACATCTGGAAAAAACAATGCAGTTAAACAGATCTACACACACCTTGAGCCCTGTTTTTTTACTCTTTTTTGCTTACATTTTTTCTAATTGGCACCATTTAAAAATATGCTGAATTAGTTATTACGAGTTCCTATTTGCATTGCACCCATGGACGTATAAACAACTGTCACTGGATTACTGTGATACTGAAGAAAACTTAAAACTTGTGTCTTTTCCATTCCAATTGAATTTCCAGTCAAATTTTTTAAGACAGATATTCATGTTCACCAGAGGATGAATTCAACCAACTTTACTGGTCCCTTAAACAGATGACTTTCCCATCAGCCTCAGCTGTGCTTCCTGTTTAACACTGATTAGCAAATGTAAGCATGCTAACATACTAAACAAAGATGGTTAACGTGGTAAACATCATGTGCTTGTTGCCATGCTAGCGTTAGCATATAGCGACTGACTGACTTTACTGATCCCAAAAGCTAATGACATTCCCATCAGCCTCTGCTGTGCTTTGTGTTTAGCGCTAATTAGCAAATGTTAGCATGCTAACACAGTAAACAAAGATTGGTGAACATAGTAAACATCATGTGCTTGTTGCCATGCTAGCTTTAGCATGTAGCTCAAACCACCGCTAAGCCTAAGTCCAGCCTCACAGAGCTGCTAACATGACTTCACACTCTTAGTCTGGTTCAAAGATCAGGGATTTATTTTTAAGAAAAACAGACTGTTAGCTGTTACATGATACATGGGCACAAACTGCGGCTCTACTCCAAACCATTTTGGAAAATGCCTGTTTAAATTAATCTGATGTAAAAGACCCTTGTTACATTAAACTTTAGACCTCTGTCTGGATAACCTGCCCTTTCTACCAGTGTGGGAAACAAAACTGAAACTTCACTTTAGCTGCTAAACGTTAAGTAAGTCTTCGGCAGATCAGAGGTGCTACTTTACAGGCAGGTGTGTCCCCGTTTCAGTCTCCATTCTTACATCAGATCAACAACATTAAAATAACATTAAATGAGTAACAAGTCTGCAGGTGGTTGTTTTGCTGACACGACATCTCAAACCAAACTGTCACTTTTCGTTCTCCTGTTCGTCTTATTCACCTGGTGTTCACGGTTTTAGAGGCAAACACAAATGTGCTAAAGGACATTTTAGCTCCAGATTTAGTTGCTGAGTTCAGGTTCAAATATTTAATGACAATTCTGTTGAAGATTTTTATATCTTTGGAGTTAAATATAGTTTTCTGAGGATCTGAGCCAACTACTGTTTCCTTTGTTTTCTTCTATATTTCTCTTTTGATAAACATAAACTGCACATACATTAACATTTTAATAGACTGGGGTTAATGTTACTAAGCTTATTTTCACTGTACATCTTTTATTGTGACACATTGAAGTCTGAGAAGTTTTTCATGTTCATGTTTCCTCATATTTTTCAGTCATACTTTCGACTCACTTGCTAAAAGTGTCGGTAGCATTGATTTGATCTGTTGATTTGTTTGCTGTATCCTGCTGTTGTTTTCTTCTCCGACTGAACGTCAACAAAGTTTCATGTCGTGAGTTTGAGCCGCTACTGTAACATACAGTCAGAGTTTAATATGAAGAGAGGTGCAGGTACTTACTTGAGTGAATCATGATCGACTGTCTTTGTGTCTACTTTTTCTTTTTCGTCTCCCTCCTCCTCCTCCTCTTCTTCTTCTTCTTCTATTATCGCTTCTTCAGCTCCAGCTCCTTTTCTTCTTCAGTTGGAGTTTTTGAGGTCAGCGTCGACTTCTTTGCAACCAGTCGCATCGATGGGGCTGATATGATGCCACAGGTGAGAAACCTTGAAGTAGCTGAGCAGCAGAGATGGAGGGGGAGAGAGACAAAGAGAGAGAGAGAGAGAGAGAGAGGCAGGTGGGTGGAGGAAGTAAAGTAGAATGAAGAATAGAAGACAAAGGAAAGAGATAAAGAAACACGAGAGCAGAAGGGAGAGGAAGTCGTTTGTATTGGGGCTGTTATCGTGTGATTTGGCCTCATGGATAAAGTTTTAAATATTAGACGTGAAAGCGAATCTTTAAAATATACAGTGTTTATAGAGAGAGAGAGAGAGAGCGTGTGGGAGAGAGACAAAGACAAAGAGATAGAGAGGAAATGAAAGAATGACGTGAGTGAAACCACATTGCATCCGTCGCTGTGAATAACTCCAGGAAGAACACAGACGTGTAAAACTCCTCCTCCTTTATGACACATTAATAAGATGCTAAACCAAAATCTGACCTTTTTTCTATTTTTTTTAAATCGCTTGCACCATGTTACGTCCCAACGTTAATGACTGAACAAAAAACAAAAATAATAATTTTTTTCTTATTTTTGAAAATTGAAATTTACACTAAAAGTCTACAGTTATGCTAGCAGCTCTTTAATCTAATGCTTTGAGCTAAACGCTAACATCAGAATGCTAAGATGCTCTTGATAATAATGCTAATATGCTTATGGTTAGCAGGTACAATGTTCAATGTTTAATCTTGATTTGAGTTAAATGCTAATGCTAGCATGGTGACAAGCACATGGTGTTTACCGTGTTCACTATCTAAGTATGGCGTGTTGTTGTTGAAAATGCGTTTCTTTTAAGATCCACTGGATGTCACCACATATTCAAATCCAATAAACAAATCTCGTTCAACTTGCCACCACTGCTAATTCTGCTATTAGTGCTAATGCTGCTGCCGTCTCTAATAATAACAGCATTGGCCTGAACGTTGGTCGTGATTAGCTGAGCACTCACAAGAAGGTTCAAGTTGATTTTCCTAAAAAGAGAACTGAAACCAGTTGCTGACTTGCATGAATGGAGTGATAAAATCAAGTGACATGTGTTGGGACAAGGATTGTCAATAAAGTTGACAAGAGCTGAACTGTAGTTGAAATACAGGTGTGTGGTGTTGGAAAATATGTAAGTACAGCCCTGCACTGTGCTTTATCCTCACAGGTCAGCTGTTTATGATTAAACTCAGAGGTTTCATATAAACTCAGGTTACACACACACACACACGCACACACTTGCAACTTGCGACTTTTTAAAAGTGTCAGCGTCGAAAACCATTTTCACAAATGTCGTCACGTTCAACAACTGTTTAAAGGTGAACCCACTGTTCAAAATGTCCCTATAAAAGACTAACTTTACAAAAATATCCTAATTTTTATTCTTACTTTCCAAAAGTGACTTGACTTCAAAACTGCGTTCTCGTTCTTACAGCAGTAATCCAAAGTTTCCTCACTTCTAAACGCTTCATCGAAATGTCTTTATTGTCCAAAAATGTCCTCGATTTCCAACATAACTCTAAAAATGTCAGATTTTTTTCTTTAGATGTATTTTCTTTACTTTTCACAAATGCTCAACAACTGTGTAAAGGTGTACTCGCTGTTTTCACAAGATAAAAGACAAACTTTTACAAAAATGTCCTCACTTTCTAAACAAGGCAACACACTCCACAACACGACCCAGTCTGCAAAACTGAAAGCAGCTGGAGTCTCACTGTCCAAAATGTCCTCTGTCACGAGAAACCAGCAGCTTCATGTTGCAGCAGCAGATATTTAACATTTTTTCCGCTCTGTTATCTGACTGATTTGACTGAGATGAAAAGATTTCATACACCAGTGACCTCACTCTCTCTCTCTCTCTCTGTTTCTCTCTCTCTGTTTCTTTCTCTCTGTTTCTTTCTCTCTGTTTCTCTCTCTGTTTCTTTCTCTCTCTCTCTCTCTCTCTGTTTCTCTCTCTCTGTTTCTTTCTCTCTCTCTGTTTCTCTCTCTCTGTTTCTTTCTCTCTCTCTCTCTCTCTCTCTCTCTCACACGCTCTCACACATTCACACTCGTTGCGGTAGAGCAGTGTAGCTAGGAGGAAGTTTGTGTGTCCTTATTTGTGTGTGTGTGTACGTGTGTGTGTGTGTGTGTGTGTGTGTGTGTGTGTATGTGTGATTCATTTCCTGAATCCCGCTCCTCGGATCCACGGCGACATGGGAGACACGAAGTCACACTGAAGGAGTAAAAGCTGCGGAATGAAGCGCCCAGGTGAGAGAAACACGTCGTCTTCCGTGTGTGTCTCTTTTTCTCTTTGGTCACGTCATGAAGTTTTTTTTTTGTGTGTGTAAATTAACTGCTATTGCGCAAAACTATGCGACTTTCAGTTCAACGAACCAACAAGTTTGACTTCAGGGCAGAAACCTGAAGTGGAGCCGCAACAACCCGCGTGTAAAAAGTGCAAATATAGTTGCATGTATTGATCTGATATTGTGATATTAATGTTAACGTGACACCACAGTAGAAAGAAACACTATTAAACACAGTAGAGTGCCATAGAAACGCTGTTTGACTTTGACATTGTGTGTAATTTAAAACCTGTGGCCACGTTTGTTCGGACAGAACAGTTTTTTTTAATGATATTAATGGACCTGAAATGAATCCTAACCACCTGGGAGCAGGTGTACAGGGAGCTGCGCGCTACCGCCGATGTCCAAAGTGCCGGGTGCGCGCGTGAGCTTTCTCGCTTCCTTCTGCTGCGTTCAAACGCTGTCATGACACGTTGAAATGTCAATCAAACCCTTTTTTTTTATTTTACAGTAAAAGCATCTTGAGGTAGAAAGACTGATACGTGTGTCAAGTCAACTCTATTTCTAGAGCTCATTCAAACACAGCTCGAGCTGAACAAAGCAAGACATAAACTAGAAATAACAAAGAGCAAATACACCAAAAAGGCCTGTCAATAAAAATGCGCATCTTTATCCTATGTCTCTGGAGGGGTCGTAATTAAGATATACAGGCAATATAGCAAAGTATATTTATTATCCTACATCTGCTATTATTTACAAACATGCTCATCTTTAACTGTATCAGAAAACAGTCTCAACTCAGATTTAATCTTTGCTTCGTGTGAGGTGTGTAGCAACATATCTGTGTGTGGAGAGAGAGATAGTGATAGTAGTCGGACCAGATAACAAACCAGCACTAACAGAACTATAAGATCAATAAGTATTATTGTAAGATAAGGGGAAAAATACCTCACACAGTTTCTGTTCACGAGTTTCTGCTGTGGAAAATATAAAAATACATGAGTACAGTAAAACATTAAAGTGTCGAGCTCTGTGCTAAACCACAATAAACACACTTGAAATGACAAATACAAACTGCTTCTTATTTTACTGACGTGAGAGGCGGATTAAAATTAAATAAATGACAGTGTTCCTTCAGAATAAAGGAGGAAGTGAAGACCAAAGTTAAAGCAGAAATCCCCACTGTACATAAAAAAAAAGTACATCAGACTGCAGCTTTCAGAAACCAGCGAACAAATTCATGAGGCAGTCTCTATTTGTGGTATAGATTTATTTAGTCAACTCCCGCGTGGGAAGACTTCCTGTCGTTGACCACATTGATGATACAGATCTGGTTCCAGGGATTAATTTAGTCTCAGTGAACTAGGTTAAGAAACTCCTCTTATTCTTTTGTGAGTCCAAAGCTACCCACCATCTTTGTTTAGCATGTAAGCTAATAACCCTAACCCATTTAGCAACAGCATGCAAAATACAAAAATATGCAGGAAAATATTATTAAAGTTTAAATTCTGTGCGTCTCTCCCCAGCTCAGATCCACCCCGCCATGTTCTGACGACACCCACCAATGGGCTGAAGGCGTGGGTGGAGCCAGGATGAGTGTCGAGATGCTACTGGAGGAGACGCTGATCAAGCGTTCGCAGCAGAAGAAGAGGACGTCGCCGCTGAACTACAAGGAGAGACTGTTCGTCCTCACCAGGAGCAGGCTGACGTACTACGATGGAAAAGCAGAGGTTGTTTTTATTCCTGTCTTTATTTACATTTCAGTTTAGGATCTTTGTCTGAATTATTTACGCTTTTTTAAAAAGATGAGTAGTTGAGGAACAGGTATGTTTTACGCCAGCAGCACATAAATTAAGCCATATAATGTATTACATAAAATCGTTACATTATTTTTTCTTCTTAAAGGAATAGTGCAATATTTTGGGATATATGTTTATTTTACCTCTTACTGAGAATTAAATGAGACGATACCACACACAATACCACGTATAATAACAGCCAGCAGATGGTTAGCGTAGCTTAGCATAAAGTCTAGAAACAGGGGGGAATTAGCTAGCCTGGTTCTGACTGGAAGTCGCAGCTTCCTGCAAAGAAATTAGCCACAAAAAAACCCATAAATTAGCATTTTTACATTTCTGTTTTTTCATAGACTAAACAAACAATGAATAATGTGTTAATTAATTAGCATTAGAGGTGCTGATAGGTATATTTGTGAACGTTGGAAAGAACCAGGCTAGCTGCTTCCCTGTTTTCAGTCTCTATGCTAAGCTAAGCTAACCAGCCCCTGGCTCCAACTAAATAAACACCCTGCAAACATGAAAGTGGTATGAATCACTGTATTTCCCAAATTCAAAACTTAATTTAATTTTCAGTTTTTGATACAACACATACAGTTAACCCACATGTCTGTATGCAGAGCTAATATCCCAGTTATAATCAAGTCAGATACACTGCTTGAGGAAATGACGGTTTGTTTTAGCTTCCTTATCAAAAACTTTAAATAAACTTTTGATAAGATAAACTTCAGACGAAACATGATACAACAAGATTGTAAATGTGTCAGTGCAAAAGTCTACAGTTAATGTCGCACGCACAGACATAGAAAAGAAGTAAAAAAGCTGCTGTTGACGTATCGTCTCCATCAACAGAAGAAGTTCAGGAGAGGCTCGATCGAGCTGAGCCGCATCAGATGTGTGGAGATCGTCAAGAACGGAGGAGGAATCATCCCCTGCCAGAACAAATACCCTTTTCAGGTATCACACTTTAAATCTAGTCTTGAAACTGTAACCATCTGAAATGAAAACCTAACATCAGTCTGTGTGTGTTTTTGTGCAGGTGGTGTATGACGGCAACACTCTCTACGTTTTCGCTCCGAGTCACGACAGCAGGAGTCTCTGGGTCCAGAGCCTGAAAGCGGGTCAGTTTCTCTTCTATTCTTTTCTATTCTGTAAAACCGAAGAGGAGCATGTACAGGCAGAAATGTTTACTTATGTTTTTTTTACCCAGGAAGTTTAGAAAAACAAAGATGATTCAGTATCTCTTCTGCCAGGGGGTCCTGGTTATATGATTGATCACATGCAGAGTTTATAGTCTTTGCTGCTGCAAAGATGTTTTCACACTTTAAACCACACATCTGAAACTGGTTTTCACACATTGCAACTTTCCTACAGCCCCCACTGTTTCCACTGTTCTTTATCTCACCTTCTGTCTGTGACATTTCACCTCTGAAATGGTGGACAGACAGGTGAGACCTGGTCAGATCCTAATTAAAGTCTGAGACAGGAAGTTGATCTTTTTTGACGTTCAGTTTTGTATTACTTGCACAGAAACGCTGGAGCCTATCTGATAATTTAATACATCGAATTTAACACTTGTTTCTATACGGAGAGACATGAGGCGAGGTGCATGCAGGTGTTTTGAAACAGCAGGGGTGTGTGTGTGTGTGTGTGTGTGTGTGTGTGTGTGTGTGTGTGTGTAGAGATCAAAGAGAACCCAGTGATCCTGGCGAAGTTTCACCCCCAGTTCTGGCAGGACGGGGCGTGGCTCTGCTGTCGCCAGGCAGAAAAACAGGCCCCGGGCTGCGAGGAATACAACCCGTTTGGAGACAGTAAGAAACACTCAAACACACACACACACACACACACGTTTGTCTTTCTATACTTGTGAGGACCCTGGCACATAATGCATTCCCAAGCCCCCAACTCTAACCTAAGCAACAACAACTCAAACCTGTTCATATAGAGGTTGAGGTACTTGTCTAATGTTACTTGCAACAACATTAAAATGCTTGATTTTTACTAAATTTAGTAACATATGCATAAAATAGGAGAATGATTCATTTACAGTGATATATTTTCTATTTATACTATAATCTGTTTTTTGTCTTTTTTTCATTTTATTCATTAGTTTGAATTTTCTTCAGTTTTAAATTATGTGTACATCTTTTTTTCTTGTTTTTTTAAGTTAAAGACCGAATTAATCAAAATCAATTAATCAAAAAAACTGCCTGTTGCTCCTTTAATATGAATCTCTCTTGTAGCGTCTGAAACACTTGAGTCCCCAGGTGTAAAGAAAAACAGGAACTCACAATGGGTGAGATAAAAGTCAAGCTGTGAGCTGATTCATTCAAAAATGCAGCTGCCACCGCCGTACAATAGGCTTCGCTTCGTGATATTAGTAACAGTATTATAAACAGCCAGCAGCAAGAGGTCAAAGGTCAGAGGGCAAAGTGACAGAGGTCATAATGAAGATAATAAAGAGAGTAACTTTCTGCTTGGTTTACTGTTTCTGTTCCTCTTTTCTAGTTTCCAGAAAACCTTTACCCCCGATTCCTGGAGAGGAACATAAAAACGTAAGGGTAACCGCCCCACACACACACACACACACACACACACACACACACACACACACACACACGATTATGATTAACACATCAATAACCAAATCCTCCTCCTGTTCCTCTGCCAGCAGCGGCGGCCCGCTCCACCCCTCCCCCCGTCACCCATGGATGACGATGATGATGACAGGGACGAGGATGACGAGGATGACGAGGAGGTAGTGGTGGTGGCTCTGTACGACTTCCCGGGCACCGAGCCCCATGACCTGAGTCTGGTCAAAGGAGGCGAGTACGTCATTCTTGAGAAGTGTGACGTGAACTGGTACAAGGCGCGCAACAAGTACGGGTGAGTGTGTATTAGTAAAGGTAACAATGAGTATTTTTATCCATCAAATTATTGGATTGAAAATCACGGTCCTCTCAGCATGAACTGCAATAATTCACTAATAACTTTGTCAAATACTATGAGGTTTTGAAACTGTGAGGCGCGCCTCCCCAGAGGGGTGTGGAGTGAGAAATATGCAGCAAAAACACTATGTGAGATCAGGCACAGATGTTCTACAGAACAACAGGAAGTTAGTGGTCTGGCCTCTGATTTGGCCTCCTTATCAGCAGGGTCAACATTAATGACATTCCCATAAGCCTTGCTAATTAGCAAATGCTAGCATGCTAACACACTCAGACGGTGAACATGTTAAACATTATACCTAAACATTAGCATGTTAGCGTGCTAAAGTTAGTTTTTGAATGTATTATAACCTCTTGTCTTGTAAACAAAACAGTGACTGAAGCTCTTGGCCTGGACTGGTCAAACAGCTGCTAATGCTAATGCTAGCTATGTAGCAATAGTAAAACTTACAAATAGCTCCTTTTAATTATATGGGATTCAGACTAATTATTTATTGAACACTTTGAGTTGCTAACTGATTCACAGTGTTGGTAATTTGAGCCCCTGGTATGTGTGTGAGTTTCAGTGGAGCTTCTGTTTTTCTGTGTTTGATATGCTAACCTTCTTCCATGCTTGTTTCCTTGTGTGTGTTGGTGATTGGTGTGCGTGTGTGTGTGTGTGTGTGTTTCACAGCGAGGAAGGCTACATCCCAAGTAACTACGTAACCGAGAAGGAATCTGGAAACCTGGTGCAGTTTGGGTGAGTGTGTGTTAATCATTTGACTGTAGATCAGCACCAACTATAAAGTTACAGGACTTTCCTCATGGTCCTGAAACAGTTGATACTGGCAGAATCCAAATGTGTGGACTTTGACTCGTGGACTTTATGCATGAAGGGATGAGGAATGTCTGCAATGCTTCAGGTGCACATACTGCAGGTCAAACTACCAGGAAATTAGATACACTTCATACGTTTTATGGCACAAATGCACCATATTTATTTGAAGACGGCTCATCTTATGGCGGTGGACATTTGAGTTCAGTGAATTTGTGCTACAGAGATCTTAAGTATTAAGATATCAGTGTAAGGGATGTTTATCTGTCTGTTTGTTTTAGTTGGTACAGTAAACAAGTCAACAGGAACAAGGCAGAGGAGCTGCTGAGGAAGGAGGTGAGTGTTTTACTGTTTCTCTCTTCACCCCCTTTTTTTTTTTACGTCTTTGTTTCTTCTTTCCTTCGTTGTGTTCTTTTTCCCTCCATGTGTCCTCCTTTCTTTTTCCCCTTTCATTTTCCAGGTTTCTGTTTCTCTTCAACTTCCTCTCTCGTTATTCACTCACTCGTCATATTTCTTTCTGTCCTTCTATGATGCAAAAATATCCAAAACAAAGCGACTGATAAAGTACTGTTCTTTGCTATACTGTCAACTCTCTAATAAAGACATAAGATGCCCCAAAGATACTTAAAAAGGCTATATATTTTTCACTCTGTGTCGCCCCCTGCAGGACAAAGAAGGAGGCTTCATTGTGAGAGACTCCAGCACTCCAGGAACCTACACCGTCTCTCTCTACACCAAGTCTGCCACAGGGTAATGGGACTATACTGTATGTCTGTTTAAAGACCATAAACTGCAGAATATTTATTATTGTGGATGTTGTTTTAATGCTTTTTGCATGTGTTTGTAGGGATGGAGGTGCAGCGATAAAACATTACCACATCAAGGAGACACAAGGCTCACCTACACAGTTTTACCTGGCTGAGAAACACTTATTCAGCTCCATCCCCGACCTGATCGAGTACCACAAACACAACGCAGCAGGTACACAACTCATTATCTACCTCATGTAGTATCTAACTTGCATACTGTAACTGGCTAACTTGGTAGCTATGTAGATGTTAAAGGTAAACTTGTTTTGAGTAGATTTTCCGTGGTATAACGGGGACAAAATGAGTTACCTCAGTTCCAAGCAGGTTGTTATAGAAGAAGCTTGTAGCCCAGAATTAAAATGAAAGTGAAAATGGAAAATTAAAAGAGAAAATGGCAAGAACTATCTTTATATTGTACTACTTCAGACAATCAGGCCGTGTTAAATGACAAATAGATATTGAGAAATGACGATTTGAAAAAGGAAACTGAAATTTCGGTTCTTGAAGCGAGAAAAAAAAACCCATATGTGTAGCTGAAGGTTGTGAATGAGCAGAGCAGGAGCTTCTTATTAACATTTAATTATGTCCCAATTGTCCGGAATAGTTCATCATAATAATAGTTTTTCACTTTTGTTTTTGTTATTTTTAATTTTCCCTTTAATTCGAATCTTCCACAGGTTGTGGTTGTTTTCTGTTTGATGGTGGCTCATGTAAAAACTCATGTAAATAAAAAAGCAGCTACAGTGGACCAACGGCTTCTTCTGCACACGCGTAAATATGTAAATTTCTCCGTCTTTCTTACCATTTTCACGTCTCTCCATCTTCAGGTCTTGTAGCCAGGTTGAGGTATCCTGTAGGAAAACAGGACAAGTCTGGTCCGTCCACCGCTGGTTTCAGCTACGGTGAGTCCCGAGTCTTTCCGACAATGTCTATCATGAACAAACAAAGCTCTTTTGTCTTTACCTTCCTCCTCTCTCCCTCTCTCTCTCTCTCTTTTCCGTCCCTCCAGAGAAGTGGGAGATCAACCCCAGTGAGCTGACCTTCATGAAGGAGCTGGGCAGCGGGCAGTTCGGCCTGGTGAGGCTCGGCAAGTGGAGGTCTCAGCACAAAGTGGCCATCAAGGCCATCAGAGAGGGAGCCATGTACGAGGAGGACTTCATCGAGGAGGCCAAGGTCATGATGTAAGGAAGGAGAAGACATGGGAGGGAAGAAATTAAAGGGGGCGAGGGAAAGCGAAAGGAAAAAAAGGTGTGGGGAAAAATTAGTACCTGCATTAAGGGACGGTGACCCTTTGTCATCTTTGACCTCTGCCGCCCTCTACTGGAGGTTTATGGGAACTGCAACAACATGCACGTCATTCCTCTTGTCTCCTGGAGCTGTGGTGGCCTGTAGATGACACAAATGATAAAGTGACATTTCCCCAATGTACAGTTGAAGACTCAGTGATGATTAGAGCAGAGAATCAACACAAATATCTCAAAATGAGTTCATAACTCAAGGGTTCAAAAATGAAAACTGGATTTTTTTGTTCATTTCTTCTAGTGAAGAAACTGATGATAGATGTTTTGTTTCACACAGTGAACTCGATCTCTGTCTCTGCATGTTTTCTCCAGGAAACTGTCCCACCCTAAACTGGTGCAGCTGTACGGCGTGTGCAGCCAGCAGCGACCCATCTACATCGTCACAGAGTTCATGGAGCAGGGCTGCCTGCTGAACTACCTCAGGCAGCAGCGGGGCAGCTTCAGCCTGGGGTCTTTGCTGAGCATCTGCCTGGACGTCAGCGAGGGCATGGAGCACCTGGAGGCCAACGGTTTCATCCACAGAGATCTGGTAACATCAAGTTACTTTTTTAATCCAGTTTTTTAGAGGCTGGTTTCCTCTCGTGTTGCTTCCAACCCTTTTTCCTTTGTCTTTTTTTTCATGTAGTGGTGCAGCAATGCAGTTAGTCCCATCCTGCAACAAAACAGTACGATGGGTTTGAAATTAATGAGATATTTAGTGATGAATGAACACCTTTTCTTGCGATTTGTGATTCACCCGTGTCACAAAAAGGGTCTGAACCAATTTGCACTGAACTTGGTGGAGGGTCGGGGAAGAACCCGTTCAATTTTGGGGCAGATCTGAAATCTGGTGAATTTTGTTTGAGCACAGACTTATTTAATTTCCCTCCATCTCCCCTGAAGGCTGCCAGAAACTGTTTGGTGAATGACGCCCTGGTAGTGAAGGTGTCTGACTTCGGCATGGCCAGGTATGCATTTCATTCCTACACATTCACTCTCTGTTGTCGTCTATTTAGATTGACTCACAGCAGGTAGAAAGACCGTGTGTTGTCTCGTCTGAACGTTATTGTGTTTTATGTAGATATGTGTTAGACAACCAGTACACCAGTTCATCAGGCGCCAAGTTTCCAGTGAAGTGGTCGCCTCCTGAAGTCTTTAACTTCTGCAAATACAGCAGCATGTCGGATGTCTGGTCCTACGGTGAGCAAACTTTAACGTCATTACGTAATCAGAACATTAGTTTGGTAACACTGATTGTAATCATGTAAGAAAACAGTTGAGGGAGCAACAACGACACGACAAGATGAAGATCCTTATCGCTCCACACAGATCTGATGTTTTTGTCTCTTCAGTGGAAGCTTGAGCGACATTTAAACCACCAACTTCATTTTAGTTATTCAGTTTCTGTCAAATTTTCGTCTCATTTTGTTTTTTATCAGTGCACAAATCTGTCCAAAGCTTTTTCAGCCCATCACAACGCATCAGGTGTCCCTAATAAAGTGGCCACTTGGGGTGTTTTTACCACTAAGTGCTTTAACGTATCTCACTACTCTTATAAAGCCTCTACATTTCATGTCTTTTGTGAATCCAGGTGTGTTGATGTGGGAGGTGTTCACCGAGGGTCGGATGCCGTTTGATCAGCATCAGAACCACGAGGTCGTTACCTTAGTAACCCAGGGTCACCGCCTGTACAGGCCCAAAATGGCCACGCCCACCATCTATGACATCATGCAGCTCTGTTGGCACGAGGTGAGAGCCGAGAGAAACCATCCGTGTCTCTGTTTTAGTTTTATCTCAGAACATTAAAAACAAAAATGATGAAATGAACAGATCTGAGTTCACGGCTGTTTTTCTGTCACTGTCTGCAGAGACCGGAGGAGCGTCCGTCCTTCTCTCAGCTCTGCACAATGATCTCCGACTCTTTGGAGGTTGACACCCCTCCCCCGAACTGAAGCAGCTTCCACCATCCACCGACCGCCACGTTGGCCTCTAACCGCCACTGCTGGGATAACCTGCCAGGCTTGAGGGTCTTATAGCAGACACTGTCTAATTCACTGACATGGAGAACACGATGTAACTGCAACTGATCAATCAGATGGAGGAGGAAGGACCAATCACACCAGCTATAGTCCACTCATCCACCAATCACGTTAGCTTATTCGATCCAGTTGCAAGCTCACAGCTGTGAACAGCTGGACTGACAGTGGTGACAACTGAAGTTACGTTCATGACACAAACTGCTGCTCCTGTCAGATTTGTTTCAGGTAGAGTGACACAAACTGACAGCAACATGGACGACATAACAACCGGCTCTCATGATGGACTCATCCCCCGACATCCAGCCTCAGTGTTTTCCTCTGGACCTGGACATTAGCAAAACACAACACACAATATGAAGCTTAATTTTTCCGTACAGGTGTGTGAAACTGTTCCTGTGAAACCTCATGATATTTTTTTGTCTGAGAAAACTGTATCAAAAATCTGTTTCATGCAATTTTTTATAACATCCTGTACATTAATATTAAAATACTGTAGACAGGAACTTGCTGTACTTCTTGTTTACTGCTAATTAGCAAATGCTAGCATGCTAACACACTAAATTAAGATAGTAAACATCCTATGAAACGACCTGCAGTCAAGTAAGGCCTGATAGGATTGGGAGTATTCTGTATACACTGTCTACCTTTTTGTATATTTCAGTTTGTGTTGAGCTCCATAAATTATTAGGTTCACTTTGGAATTTCACAAAAATGATGATGCATTATGCTTTTCCTGGATTAAATCTCTGCCTGTGTGATTTATAGACAACCATGTGTATAAATACTGTATAATGAGTCAAACGTTACGGCCACAGTCCTGTTGTAGTAAATTATTAATGGTAAATGTTATTCCATGACATTTTAACTCCCATATCTAAAATATAATTATTCCAATAAATAAAACAATGGCCATGAGTACCACACCATTTTTCTTTTTAATACTAAAAAACTATTGGCAATAGATTTTAAATAAGACATCATTAATATAATTGTGATCACATGAACATGTCTGGAGAGGAACCTAAGTCCAGATATAGAGCTTTTCCAGACCAGCGTGCTCTGAAGGGGGAGAAAAAAACAGTCAGTTAAATTGCACTTTTGTGTGTGTTTTCACAAACAATAAAGGTTTCACAAATCTGAGACAGCATTTAATTTAAAGAATCTGTAGCAAATGAACCCAGGCGAGAGAGAACCAGCAGTTTACCCAAGGTGCATGTGCTCATCCACTAATCTCTCTCACACACACACACACACACACACACACACACACACACACACACACACACACACACACAGAGAATAGCTGTTCTTAAACTGCACGTTAGTCAGTAGTAACGCCTCCGGACAGTGTTTCCTGTTGTTCTTCAGATGAAATTCAGCCTTAAGGTCTTTGTTGTCTTGACACTGACATGGCTCCTCCCTCCATCAGCTTGTGTAAAGTTGTTCAACCTGAAACTGAACCCTGTTACAGTAAATAAAAACCGTCCTTGCAGTTGGAAAAAAAAGTTTCAGTATCAGGAGGAGGAACGTGAGAAGTCCTGAAGGTTTAGGCGACTTTGTGGTAACTGTAGTTTCACAGGAAGATGCAGATGCAAATGTTTGTGGTGTTTGTAAGAAAACATTCCCTCTCTGTTGTGACTGATCTGACTCTGCATCACCTCCGTACACTTTGTCTTAAGCTTCATTGAGCTTTTATTTCTGCTCCTCAGTGAAAAACACTCAGGGTCCCTCTCATCTCTATAAACCTGCTCCAGCTGAGTATCAGTCCCTCGAGAAGGACAGATGGAAGGAGAAGTGGTCAGGATTATTTATGTAGCAGCTCTTTATTGAAGCTTTGGGATATTTACACTAACACTATGTTCACACTAAACTGGATTAATATGAGTCTGGATCGCAAACAGGTTTGCAAAAAAATGGACCGGAATCGATCTCAGATGTGAACGAGAACAAACTAAAGGCAGGATAAGCTTTAAGTTCAGGGAAACATTCAGTGGTGAAGCAGGTCGACAGCAGCATCAACCGACTGGACGTCCAAGAGGCTTCATCCCAAACACTAAAGCAGGCCTAATATTTACATTACTCAATAATCTGTTCATAATTTTAATGATTAATTTTTCAGTTGTCTATGTTAAAAAATAGATTAGTTGAAAAATGAATTGCAAAATTATTTTTGATAATCAATCTTTTTTTTTTTTTTTAGTCATGTTTCAAAAATATGAAATATAAAATGATAGCAAGTTTATAAAACACTGAGTTCGTAGCAGCTGCTCCCGCGGTTCGTCTCTTCTTCATGAACAAAACTGCGGA